ATCCCTTTACTACCCAATCCGGGGGCTTTTTACCTGCCCCCTAAAATCCAGAAACAAAGAAACCTCGGCAGACCAATCATTTCAAACCATGGAACCATAAGAGAAGAAATATCAGGTTTCATCGAACGCATCTCAAAACTCCTCATCCCCCAAAGACCGAGTTTCATCCAAGACACAACTGACTTCCTGCAAAAACTCAAAAACATGGACCACCTTCCCAGAAATACCCTCCTAACCATCATGGATGTCACTATCTTATACACAAACATCCCACACCAGGATGGCATTCAAGTCTGCCTCACATATTTACAAGTACACACCTCAGGATATCATTAAACTCATATACTTCATCCTTACACACAATAACTTCAGTTTCAACCACCAACACTTCCTCCAGACTATGGGCACCAAAATGGCCCCACAATATGCCAACCTTTTTATGGCCCACCTAGAAGAAGACTTCCTTAATAACTGCACCATCAAACCCAAGCTATACCTGAGATGCACAGAGGATATCTTCATCATTTGGACTGAAACCCTGCAGTCTCTAATTTATTTTCATCAAAAATTCAACAATCATCACCCCTCCATCAGACTATTGCTTGAATACTCTAATACCGGCATTTCTTTTTTGGACACCACGATCTACATCCAAGATGGTAAAATTCAAACCACCATATATAAGAAACCCACAGACCAACATACCTATCTACACAGAACCAGCAATCACCCTAAACACCCCAAGAAAATAATTTAGAGCCAAGCTCTCTGATACCACCAGATTTGCAGCAAGGAAAATACCCATGATCACCATCTCAAATCTCAAAAGGGCCTTCAGCCAAGAAGGACACACATCCAGAGAGACAGGTCACACTTCTGAAAGAGCCAACTGGATAACACATGAAGATATGCTGCAGTACAAAAAGAAAATCCCCACCAATTGCACACCACTAGTTATGACATATCACCCTTCCCTGGAACCTACAAAGAAAATCCTCAAAAGATTGAAACCTATACTACAAGACAACCCCATTTTTAAAGAGATCTTTACAGAACCACCCATCCCAGCCTTTATACAAGCACCAGACCTCACTAATCTCATCACCAGAAGCAAACTCCTTATGACCCAAACCACACCCAAGGGATCAAACCATGCCAGAACAAGAAATTCAAAACCTGCTAACACATCTCCACCACCCCCACTACAGCTACACTCCACAACAGAACCATCACCATTCTTGGATCTTACACCTGCACTTCCAGAAATGTTATATATATCTCATCCAGTGCACCAAATGCCCCAATAGAAAATATTTTGGAAAAAACAAACAATTGTGCACCAGAATGAACGTACACCGAAAATCTATCAAAAGACAAGAATACCCAGCTATCTGTGGGGCCCACTTCTCACACGACAGTCACTCCCTCTCCAATCTCTCAGTTCTAATCCTCAAAGGGAACTTACAAAACTCCTTTTGTAGACGATCCTCAGAATGTCATTTCATAAATCTACTTGATACATAGTCACAGACTCAATATAGACACTGGATTTATGACACATTACATCCTGCCTGACATCTGATTCACCAGGTACCTGCCTAGCCTGAACCCTTACATTCGTCTTCGTCTTTTCCCCCACCTTTTCTCCCCTCCCCTACTTTTCTGCCTGTTTGTCTTCCTGATTTCAAACTATTTCCTTTTTCACTGAGATCCTCTTTTTTGCTTTATATAAAAATGTCTATGGATCCTTGCCACTTTCTATTGTATTTAATATTCACAGTCACCTGTCTAGCTGAGTGAATAATCTTGAAAACCTTGCGAGACAAATTATATTTCTTTAGATCCTGGCTTTCATACTGAAATCAACAGATCGTACTGATAATGAAACTGTTCCTTAATATTCATGACAAGAACATTCATTTCTCTGGATTTTGAAATAAATTTAGCATTCTTTGCATTAAAAGTTTAAGTAGCTAAGATTTAATAGCTCTTTTCTACAAAAAGAGAAAGATTTTGGCACAAGTACTGTATAGCAGAAAAGTTCATAAAACACAACAGTAAAGAGAGAAACCAGCTAGATAATACTGCAGTATCCCCAACCCCTGCCGTTTTTACAAGTCTTAAGCAATTAAATCATGTTCTCAACAGTCCTTATATAAGTTTTCCTTAGATGCTAGCTCCATTCATTTACCAGCATGGAAATAAATTTAACTATAATTAATCAAGGCCTGAAATAACTGTCATAGCATTATTCTAGTCCCGTGATTCTCAACCAAGGTGCCAGTCTTGTCCCTGCCTGGCCAATCCCCTAACCCCACATTGCTCAGGCCCTTCTACAGGGAGATAAGCAGTGTAATAACAAATTAGTTTGTGAAACTGAGTGCTGCTGATTCACATAAGTTTTGGAGGGATGCCTTGAATCCAAAAAGATTTAGAACTTCTGTCCTAGTCTAATCAAAGAACATTTCCATTTAAGGAAACCTTTAACCATTTCCTTGCAGTTCTGTATTTCAAACAGAGCAGAGGAGCATATTAGCATCTCTGCTAGAGAAGATTCTGCCCGTATCAAAACACTTAATTTACAGCCAAGCTTTTGGGTCTCCAAAAGCATGCCTTGAAAAATATATCTGAGAAGCACCATCTCTTCACACAAAGAGCCAGCAGAATTTCAGAGTGCATTTCACTGAATTAACACCCTGCCCAGCAATTAGCTAACTATTTGTTTCTTTACAGAGCAGTAAAGACAACTGCACCTTGAACATCAGACCATAGTTTCTATGGAATCCACATCCTTTGTCCTCCACTTGTGGCTTCAACAATAATCATTTGCAAGTTTTGAAAATTCATCGCAAGTACATACAAAATGTGCATCTCATGCTGTGGAGAAGCATATGAAAATTAATTCATCATGGAAACTAAACCTAAAACAATTTCTGAAAGACTCAAAGTACAATAAAACTATCAAGTAGCAAATATTCTGCACCTCAAAGTAAATTTAAGAAATAATGGCTTGTCCTACTCAGTGTTCATTATTTTGTCTACACATTAATCCTAAGTGCTGACTTGACTTTTTCATATAAATTCCATAGTTTAGCATTTTTCTTCAAAAAATGATCAGAGTGCTGGAACAGATTATATAGAGAAGTTGTGGAATATCCATCATTAGACGATTTTTAAGTACAGGTTAGACAAACATTTGTCTTGAATAGTTCAGGCAGGAATAATCCTACCTTAAGTGGCAAAGGGAGAAATGGGGGGAGGAGTAAGGGGGGTTAACTAGATGACCTCCTGTGTCCCTTCATCCCTATTTTTCCTCTGTTCCTCTTATTCTAAAAGGCATAGCTGTTCATGGATAACGACCACTGCCTTTTATTTAAGATTAAATGAAAATCAGGTAGCTGAAACAGCAGCAGGTTTTACCAAAAACACAGCCGCATGACTCTTTGAAAAGCAAAGATTTTGCTGGATATAGCTTTGTGCAGGTTTACATCAGTGAAAGAGGTGAAAAAAGGCTAGACAGAATCAGCTGCAGGGAGAGAAAAAGCTGAGGACACAAACAGAATAAAGATTGGGAATACCATCCTAAAAAAGGTTGTGCACCAATTTTAGACTGAAACCATGAACAAAAAGGCAGTTTTTGTTCACCCTAATTATTTGATGCCTGCTGCATTCAGAAACAGGACTTGATACAACCTGAGGCTTCAACAAATAACTGACTCCATTACTAATTTATCTTCCTACTGGGAATGACCCATACCTTCCCAAATTTGCCTAAGCTGAAAAAGAAGTAACATTCTCATTTAATGAGTACCTAAAGAGCACATTATGCCTGTGTTTGGATATTGTTGAAATTAAAGCCGGTCATAGAGACCTCCAACTTAGTTTATCAGAAGATGGTTTTAGAGAGCAGCCAGACGCCACCCAATCCAAAAGCAGTTTGATAAGCAGTAATAACAAAACAACTTTTTATCATCATGAATTAACTGAGTGCTTTAATTGGAGTGGTGTTGTTAAAAAAAAAGGCTATTATAAACAAAAGGTAAGTTAGAAACAGCTTCACAGACACTCTCTATACTGGCTGCTCAGAGAATATCAAATGAAATTCAAATCCTCAGTCACAGTCTTCCAGATGCTCCTTTAAACTGGCTTAAGTTGCATAAGAGACTGCCTCTGAGACAGTGACCTCCCTGAACAGTTACAATCTCATCTATAAATACATGGACCTCTCAGTCAAGCCCATGAGAGCAGCAGGAAAAGCCATGTTGGCAGCTGATCTGAAGCTATGGAACTCTGTTCCAAATGGGGTAGACAACCACAAATCACATGATTTTCACAAAAACAGTACAAAAACTTGCTTATAAAATTTGTTCCCTATAGCTGCAGTCCCTCATGCAGCCAGTGCACTGTAGTAGATTCTTTCAAAAGATAAGTGCATCAGGAATCACAAAACCAAACAAAACTCAAAAAACCTGCACGCATACCTGCATCAAATGTGAAGCTTTGTGCAACGTTAATGCTTTGTTTTGCAAACAGATCCCATGGGGACGATGGTATAAACGTGTAAACACATTATTAAACATACAACCATTAGCATTCCCTGAGGTTAATGCAGCTACGTTCTAAGTAATACTGTATCTGGGTATGGACAAACACACTCTTAGGGCAGCTTCAAATGGGAAGACAAAGTTATTCCTCAAGAGTGTGAAGCACATGTTAGGTTATAATGGTTACACGTGCATGTTCCCATAGCAATGTAAGTGAGTTAAATTACTAACTTTCACCTAGATGAAAAAGTCTGAGTGTTTTTGCTACACATGCATTGCTACAGGTTCATGAACATGTAACAGCTGCAGCATAACATGTGCTACGTGGTTCAGAGCAGCAGCTTTACCTCTGCATTTTGAGGTCATTCTAAATATTCCCCTGTTGATTGTTCATATCTTGTTTCATTTACAGTAAAGCCTGACTAAGAAAACACTATTAAATTGTTTTATACGTACTTTGAATAATCAAAAAGTCTGCTGTCCCAAAGACCATGCATTCCTTTAGGTCCAGAATGAAAAAAACAGGAGTCTGTGCCATCAAATTTGTTCAAACCATCCTCCGAGTTCTTTGATGCATGACTGTGCACAACATCCAATAGTACAGTAATTCCCATTGAGTGGGCAACATCAATCAATTCCTTCAGGTCATCTGGGGTCCCATAACGACTACAAGAATGAAAATACAACATATTAGGACATATGCAAATATAGTTTTAAAACAAGAGCTGAATATGGTACACATTGCAGCAAATTTTAAAATTGAGAATACCTAAAATCACATAAGATAACTGCTGTGCCTCCTACTCTACACAATGGAGTAACAACTGTACAGTAAAGTGTAATAAAATATTAAATTAAAAGACAACCAGATGTAAGTTAATTACAAAATACTGGGAAAAATTATTAAAAACTACCATTAAGGTATGCTAAAGTCTTTCAAAAAATGATTGGGCAAAACTTGATTATTTTCATGCCTCAGAAGGAAAAATAAAGGGTTACCTTGATAAAACTGATTTATCAAAGTGTTCAATTTTTAATTCTTTACATTTTAGACCATCTAAAAGAAGTTCCTACATAGATGGAATTAAACAATACATAAACGTGGAACTTGGTACGAGGTAAAAAAATATAATACAGTTAAAAAAACCCAATAAATACTCTGTTTCCCACATGTTGTAAGCTGTTGTCATACACTGACTTGTTTTGCATCATAATACCATTTATTTCAAACTTTTCAGTAAGGTCTATCTTAATATTGCAACGTATAGTTTGTTCAACTAATTAAAGCAATTAAAGCTTCCTGATGGACTACATTTTATAGTGTCACTTGAAGATTCATCAAGAAGATAATCTTCAGGTTTCCTATTGCTTTCATGAACAATTCATCTTCATCCTTTGCCCATTTCCACAAACTGGTGGGCCTGAAATCTCTCTCAACACAATATGTTATGAGCATGTAATTAATTTATTTCCTAATAAACATACAGAGGCACTTAGTTACAGTACAGCACTTTTTTGAAAAGTAAAATGATTAGAAAATACTGTCATGAACAAATGCCCTAAAGATATTTTTTTAGCCACAAAAAATGCACGTTTTTCTCTGTCAATTATTGAACAACATAGGGACCACAGAGGCATTTTTAAAAAAAGGCACATAGCTAAGGCCCTATGAGATGGAAAGAGCTTTGCCAATTAAAGTTACTCATGATCTTTTCATTAATCTTGCATATTATATTAAACCTATCTACAGAATAGCTGATAATTATACAAATCTAGTCACAAATTTATTAAGAAAAGAAACTCTGTTTAAAAAAAGAAAGAAAAAGAAAAAAGGATATTTGGGCGAGATACCAAAATCCTTACTGTACATTAGACATATTTACCTAAATTTAAACACTGCTTCAATACCAACAAGGTGGGGGAGATAGGCATTTTATGCATACCTTGATGCTGCAAAAAAACTTGTTATCTGGTAACCAAAACTGGCATAGTAGGCATGCTCCATAATAGCCATCAACTGAATGCAATTGTATCCTGTTTATAAAAGTAAAAGCAAAACAAAACAAACAAAAAACACATAAGAAATTATATTCCTACAAACTTGCATAATTGTTTGATAAAAGTACTTACCTCTCATACTATATCGATTTCTGAAGTACCTTTTTTTCTTAACTAGTTCTAAATTTCTCATGTAAATTTAATAATTAACCAACTTGCAGTCACTCTTAAAAAGTAGTGTCACCTTAACATCATATACTTGTGTGCCCTTCCTATAAAAAATGGGAAGGGCAATTTCTCAAGTGATCTACATATGACTAGATATATTGAATCCCTTGGTTTTTAACAAGCAATAAATGATATGCAAATATAATCTTAATTTGACTTCAGAATATTAACTATGCCAATCTGCATGCCCTGAACTTCAGTTGCACTTTTGATATTTACAGTGTTGATCAGGAAAGCAAAACAAGAGTGACTGATTATGTGTGCTATACCTTGTGCTTTACACGACTTTTCTTAATATTTTAGACACATTTTTTACTCCTTTTTTAATCATTACCTTTTTAAAAAAATCCAGACTCATTTCCCTAAAGGGATCTTTTAAAAAAAGAACATTAAAGCAGTGGTATTCTGCATTGAGCTTAGTGAAACAGATGAGAACCAAGAAAAAACGTCCCTCATCCCACCCAAAATGTTTTACTGTGATATTAAATGAAAAAAATCTAAATGGAAAATAACATTTTGATGATTAAATCACAGCACTTTACATAAATCTTTACCAAGCTAACTTTAATGTCAGCAAATGAAGACTATCAGCGAAGAATAACCTTCAGGTTTGCTGAAGTCTGTTGAGAATACAGCTTCTCTATTTTTAATGTAAAAAAATCTTCAGCATGTTTAAGACTATTCTTCAGCATAACTCTATCCTGATTGTTTAATTTAGCTGTTACACCACTTTTATTTGATTGTGAGGGTCAAAAGTAAGAGTTACTGTTACAGAGATAACTGGCATCAACTCAGCAATGTCTGAAGTCTGTAGCCATTTTACAATTCAGGTTCAATCCATTTATTGTTACTTACAATACTTTTGTATATAAACAGTACAAACTGCATCGGATTATTCTCATTCTATTTACTTGCTGTTTATCTTGCTATTTATGATGCACATACTTCTACAAATCATTAATATTTTATCATTCTTAAATATTCATTTAGAATTAGGAATAAATTAGCACTGAATACATTTCAGAACTGTGCAAAAAATAAAGTGCCCCTGAAGCAACTTCTTTAAAAAAAAGCAACAACTTAAGTAGGCTAGACGACAAATAATTAAACTTGTAGGAACATAATCAGTCATTCCCTGTATGCTTGATTTAAAGTTTATAATATTTTTTTACCCCATACTTCCATTTGCCATTCCATACTTTTTTATTTGCATTTATATAAACATACACACACATTCTGGAAAGAAGATTTGCTTATTATGAACAGAAAACCACAATATTAAAAACCATAAATCTATGCTTCAAGTATACTTGAAGTTGAGGGTCATCAACGTACAGAACTGTTTATATCCTGCCAACTAGACTTCAGCAACAGCTCAACTTCAGCAACAGGTGAATATAGTATTTTTTTAATTACTTTGGGCATGTATACATCTGTGAGAGCCACTCAAATTAAAGCGCCCAGAACGTCTCGTGTATCATTTGAGCTTTAGTTAAAGTGCCCCCATAGCCATTATTACGCATGAGGATGCCGATACACAGGACACTAGATTCTGCTCCAATGTGCTACAACCATATCATGTCAGAGGAGCCATGTTGCTCATGTACAGGCACCCTTTAAGTAATATTTATGTCTGGTTTAAATAATATGTGGATGGAAGTAATATAGCTACCATCTGGCTTCATATCTGCTTGTAATCTACCTTTCAATTGCTTGTTTCCACCACACCCTCCTGCTTTATCCTCACACAATTCAGATTCAAAGATTCCCTATGCCTACAAATGGACAACAGTGCCATCAGCAGACACATCCCCCAACAAAGCAATATTTTTATAACAGACTATGAAAACATAGCCATAGAGAGGTCTGTATTATGTTTGTCCTGGAAGAAAAGTCTTTTTCCTCAGCACAAAAAAAGTATAAAGCTATTCAAGCGATTTCTTGCACATCAGAACTAGCTCTTCTTCAAGCAAGTAAGATCGATTCCTTCTAGGAAGGTCTCCCGCTTCCCATACTAACTTGAATGGATGTACACTTCTCACAGGTGTTGAGGACAGCTAATATCCCAGTCTTCTGCTCTCCCTCTCTGCCTTCAAGGTTCCTTGCCCAGAAGCAAGTTTCGAGGGAGTCCTGTGGGGAACAATTCCCTCTTGCTCCTCCCCACCACCAATCATTTTATTGACAGAACAGGCTGTCAAATGAACTGGCTCCCCTCCAAGGGCAGGGATGACCCAAAGATGGCTTTAGTGCCCCTGGCTAGGGAGCTGGTCCATGTGCTCCAGCTCCTGGACTCTAGAAGACCTATCCAAGGCTTTTGAAATCCGCTTCCACTAGATGTGGTCTTTCCTCCATCTTCAGCATGTGGACACATGGGAAGTAGTCCATAGAGAAATTCCACCAGGACTTTAAAAACTTCCACCTCTCCACCAAACTGACTCCTGAATACTTCACCTAACCTGTTCATTTCTGGAACACCGCTGTGAAATTGCAATGGCAACACCATCACCCTGGGATTGCTTCCTATCCAGTATCCCTGCTCTCTGCTACCTAATTCACAGCATCTGATACTGTAAATTTTCATTCATGCCTTTCTGAATACGAGTTAGTCTTTAAGGTGCTGATTTATCCTCCTTCTTCTATGAATAAACTAGGATTTGCCAGAAATACCAGATATCATGGCAAAAGTTATTTTCCTTTCTAATCACAGGAAGTCATGTCTCATCATCGCTGACTGAAAAGAGCTAGCAAGAGAATGTTACATGATATAGAACAGCACCCAGGACACAAAAATAGCTATATAAAAAAAGCCCCAGAAACCACATAGACTAACAGCTTGTCCAGTTTTCTGAGGAAATCACAGCAGCAGCTTCATCTACATACCTAGCCTCGATAATAATATATTACAGCTCTTTTCTAAAATAAAATTGCTTATGTTAACAATTGCTTTCCAATACTAGAAAACAGTTTTAAAATGATACAATTTAACACATTTCAGTCAGTAAGCTGAACCAACAGAACCAATAATTGTTTCCTTTTAGCTAGATGTACATTAGTAGAACTAATAATTGCAAATAGATTATCACCCAATGACTGTCATGCATAAAAGAGTTTCTTTCACTCTGAACACAAATTGCCCTGCAATATTTATCTATGCCTTTGGAATAATATTGTACTTAAAAATGTCAAATGGAATATTTTTGATCCACATACATGACTATGGACTTAACTGTTTCATTAATACAATTTTTACTGACTTAAAATACCTTTTTAAAGCACATTAAATTATTCCTCTCTCCCCTTTCACTCCTCTACATTCCATCCAGCCCCTGTACCAGGATATCTCTAGCCTCTTGAAAGTGAATGGAGAGCTACATGCCCCTTGCCAGCATGTAGAAACACCCAACAGGGCTACCCGCTCTCTGGACTACCGTATGCTTTACACATTGAGTTGCTGTTCCATCCACTACCTGACAGGCCTGGCCCTGCCATCAGCTGCAGACCCTCCAGTTAAGGTGACAGTGTATGTCAATGGCATGGTCCACCTGTGATGCAGAGTAGTGGCTGCCAGGTTGTTGATGGCCAGAACCGAAATAGAGAGATGGGTGAGTCTAGGAAAATATCCAGGGCTTCAAAGCCTTTGTGGCACCTGGACAGGTCTCCAGGTAGGTCAAGGGGCGGGGGGTGAATATCAGCCCAGACACCCAGTAGAAATGTGCCAGTTTTGACCCAGGTAATATAAGCTGAGGAGGCACACTTGTAGACCTGTTGACACTAAATCAAGGGCTGGACTTCACTCTCAGTGTTCACAAAGGCCAAGGACAGAAATTACACATAAGTGATTGGAAACCAGTTCAAAACTGCAACACAGCAGAAGTTCAGTACACAAACTGCTTTCAAAATGGTCAAAACCAACTTAGGATAAACCTGGATGGATGTATTATCAGACTTAACTGATTTAGGTTAAATTGATTATTGAACTTCTGTCCTAGATCCCCTCCAGATTCAAGCTGTCTGCTCCAACAGAGCTAGGAGGTGGGCTCTAGCAACCCCCTCCCCCAGCTTCTGGTCTGAGCCACAGCAGGCATAAAATCAAAAGTGAATGTCTGTTCACTTACTTATTGGTTCAATCTACGCACCTTAAACTAACCTGCAAAGATTGAATCAATTGAGCTTTGTGCTTTTTAGACTGTCAGTACTTAGCCAAAAAGTCATGTGATTGGCATGTGCTGTCACCTTAACTGGAGGGTCTGCAGCTGGAGCTGCAGCTGATAGCAGGGCTGGGCTCATCGGGCATGGCTGCAACAAATGGAGCAGCAATTCTATGTTTAAAGTATTCCCGAGATAGGGCAGCCCTGATGGTTGCCTCTGTATGCTGGACAAGCCCTTCCCAATAGCAACTCACTAAATAAACCCCCTCTACTACTGCCCATTTTCCTGGCTGAGGACAACAACCAGTGTGCCAGGCCCAGGACCCTAGAGTCCCTCTCTCTAACAAGAACAGAGGTGGGATGTGCCTTGAGATCCTGTCTGAGGAGGCACTGTACACACAAACAGTCAAAGAGCAACATGCTCATGTCCTCACTGCCTGCCCTGATGCAACTTGAAGACGGCACTTAGCAGTAACTCCACCAAAGCAAGCCTGGCTGGGCTGGTGCTTCCTATACCACCTACCCACTGCCAAGAGAACTGGTGACCTCCAGTGGTTGTATGGGACCCTGGCTATACTGGTGATCTGTACTTTCTGTGAGGAGGAGGTGAAAGACACTCTCTTCCATGCCTTCTTGAACTGATCCCTGGCTGCAGCCACTCTTTACTACCTTCAGCATCTCTCTGGCATGCAGGACTTGGACTTCTCTGAGACTGTACATCTTCTCTATCTTGTACTGAGCAGCAAAAGGGAGTGTGATCTGCCCGACCAATTTCCAGCTGGACCAGGCCAAAATTGTGACTCTGAAAAGCTGCAGAAACCAGCTCGCAGGGGCCAGCTCTGATGACTCCTTCCAACTCTTTTACTTCTTGGACTAGGCACATGCCACACTTGAATCTGGACACTACACCTTACACAAAAATATCAACCAGTTTATATCACATTAGGCATAGGCTCTGTAAGGTGGGAGATGGACACCTGGTGCTACCTATGTAACCCCATAAGAGACATGGGGGGAGGTGTCTTTCACCCTTAAGCAACATGGTGGTTTTTTGTTACTAACAAGTATTTTTTGCTAGGCCCCTGGGAGGCCTACACCCCTCTGTACTTTCACCATTTGTTTAATATCTGTATAATAAAGATTTTTTTAAAGTAAAAAAAACAAAAAAGTCTCTCTCTTTCCTCCCACTCCTCCTTCCCCATCCCCCCCCATTTATCTTTTCTAATAAGAACAGACTCATAAAAAATTTATCTCTGCAAAAATCTCTGTTATTACTTACCGAGATCCTTTATTCTAGGTAGTACATTGTAAGTAAAGTTTTTATAAGAAGCTATTTTCCCTTCAGGGGAAGCAATTCCCACATGAGACTCGTAGATTCTTAGGCTTTTCGGTTTCTCAGGGGAAGGATGTCTACTCTATAAAACAGAAAATGGTCATCATTAGGGCACAACAGCTGAGAAGCATATTTTGTTGGCTATAAAAAATTTAAAATATACAGTTAGGAGAAAAGAGCTAACATTAAACTTAAAAAAATAATCAAATAACACTACAGTTATAACACTGCAATATCCTGCAGAATCTTGTTGTTAAATACTGTACAGGCAAAAAAGTACTTTCAATGTTGAGACTGAATACTTCCCATCTCACTTCTTGCATGAGAAACTGAGTACCCTTGACTTGACACCCTTAGAGACATATTAATATTTGTGTGGTTCACTTCGCTAAGTGCTGACTTTGTTTGAAAAAAAGTGACTTAAAAAAGGTCAATTCCTCTTTCAGCACTCCAGCTTTTGTATGTATTCAAAGTCATATCTACCCACTCTAATGATGTAAAAAATCCTTTTAACACCAGTTAAATACAGCATGCAGTTTTAAATACCCTGCAGAATGAAACTCTAAAAATGCAGGGGAATCTTCTGATTACTGAAAGGTTTATAATTTTCTTCTCTATCGTAAGCAAAACAGTTACCCAGGTAAATAGCATGCTAAGGTAACTAGGTACCAAGCTGTATGCTGGATAACTTGTATTTCACAGCAAACAAAAGGAATACGATATGAAACTTTTTTTTTTTAAAAGGGACACAAGCTTACAAGATATGGTAATGGTGGTTCCCAGTGCATCCAGTCATAATTCACTTTGCCCTCCTCACGAATTACATATTTTGCCCAAGGTGAAATGCGGTAAAGGATCTCTCCACTTCTATTACGGATCACCAACTGCAAAACAAAATAAAGAGATTTAAAAGAAATCACACACACACACACACACACACACACGAGTTTAATGTTATGCAACTTTTGTTAGGCAAACTGCACCAGAAAGCATTACACATGATTTAACAGAAAAACAAAAGTGCAGGTAAATCAGCTCAGACAAGGGCCAATGGATGTGCGTCTGCAAGAGCTGAACTCATGGTCTAAACTGCAAAATTTAAAATGTTTAGCAGTGCTTCCCTCAAACATGTTGCCTATTTCTCTGCTTATTATTTTCCAGGTCAGAAAACAGAGAAGCCGCATGTACTAGCCTCAGTTATATGGAGACACAGCTATATTAACGGTCTGGGCCAACACACACATCGAGCCAAGCCTAGCAAATTTTATAGTCTAGACACCGTCAGAGATACTAAATGGGAACAGCATAGGAGGCAGGAAGGATATTTCACAACAAAAGTGTTACAGGAATAATTTTTCATTTTGGTCCCATACAACTGAAAACAAAGCTTCCCCGGCATCTTTCCAGGTTCCTGCTTCCCTCCAGAAGGACTCCTGGAATTTGACTGACAGGAAAGGAAAGGGAAGTCAGCTTCAGCAGACAGAGTTATCAGCGTGCCTGTGTGACCTTCAGGAGAAGGTGGCTGATGATTTCAACGAGGTTGAAAGATACCCTCAACACAGATGCAGATAAGCTTACCATTGCATAAGTCACCTATTTTCCAGAGGCATGGCACTTGAAATTTTATCGAGGCACACCCAGGCAACCTTGTCTGATGTTACATGACCCTTGTCTCCAGAACAGATTAAGTCATGTTGATCTTCCAGCTGGCAAGATCCTCAGACAGCACCACCTCCTCTACTGGTAGGAAAGCATGAACTGAAGGTGGAGAGTCACTCCCCAGAAAAATGGGAGTTCACTGAGAGCAGTGTGGTTTGGGGGCCAACTGTGGCTTCCTACCATTTTCCACACCAAAAAAAAAATCTGTGCTAAGTCCCATGGCAGTCCAAATGAGAGGAACTTCAGGACTAACAAAAGGCACTGCAAGTACTTGGGGTTGACAGAGAAACAGGAACCCTCTATCCCAAGGCCTCAGAGCATGCATACTTCATCTTTCAAGACCAAATGTAAAAAAGGTTCTTCAAAACAGGAGCAAATATAGTTGTTATCGAGTCATACCAGTTTAAGAAAGATTGATTGTCTGGTTTTAGTCTTTTTTCAGAGTGAACACCTGTAACTAGTGCTGTTTGCACTGCTGCTGAGGTCCCAAGCAGCCCTGGAGCTCAACAAATTACCAGGCTGAAAAGGAGAAAGAAGAGCAACAAGTTGCTTTACAGACCTGCCTCTTACCAGTGAAGGAGAGACGTGGCTGCAGAGGATTTGCATGACTGGACAAAGTACCATCAAAAGCACTGTGCTGATCTGGTTAGGACAGGGATGTCACAGTAATCTTCCAGGCACACCAAAATTGAGGCCTGCCCATTGCATCTCCCGTTACCCATTCATTTATGCCTTTTAGGCACAGATCTTATTCTATGTTATCTCTAGATGTTGTTAGCCCTATTAGAATTCTAAGAAAAAAATATTTATATGTCCCAGGAATATGGCAATGAATTTCACACCTTAACAAAGCTTAATGTAAAAAACAAAGAAAAAAAACAACTTAGTGCTAACTTTGTTACCTTCCAGTTCTGCTGGCAGTGCACTGGCATCAGACACTTTTATAGTGATATGGAGAGGGGCCAGAGGGGAGTGATGGGGGGAGGCAGGTGAGGGAGGAGGGAAGGCAGGAAACCCAGTTAAAAGGGGCTGCTGCTAGCACCTGCATAAATTGCAGTTGCAATCATAGCAGCAACCTGAAGTCCCCACTGCCCCTGTGCACTAGGCACCCAGCTGTGTCCCTACACTGATGCATGTGGAATGTTAGAAAAAAAACCCCAAACCATATCTTAGGGGAAAAAACAGAAGGTGAAATACTCAGTAGCCTGCAGTAACATTGGAAATCTGTTCATTCTACCTTGCTGGAAGAAAATCGCTTTAAAATGTCTGTATGGGTTTGCAGCTAAAATTTACAAGTTTAATTTGGGTTATTAAAAACAATATGATTTTTATTTGCAAAATGAGCTGTTGGTGCTGCAACTCATTTTATTAACTTATTCTCAACGTATTTAAAGTGATAATTATTTTTATCTGCCAGCCAATGTCTAGTTGCCTACTTTTGCTTTTTCTTCTTTGCTTGCTTTCAGAGTGTAGAGAGATACCATTTAGCCATGTTAGTTTGAAGTCAGATAGAAGGCACTTAGACTACTGCATTCAGAAAGCTACAAGATTTTGTAGATGATAACCTGCTTCATCAGATACTATGGATGGTCTATTCATATCATCTGACAAAGTATGCTGTCACCTATGAGACTTCTGCCTCTAAATCAGCAGTCCCATGCACCACTATAATCTGCTTGGGAAAAGTCAGCCTAGTTTTTGTAAAGGGAAATCACATCTCTCCAATCTGGTGGATTTCTTTGAGGATGTTAATAAGAATGTGGACAAGGGGAGTCCAGTTAACATAATATATTTGGACTTTCAACAAGTTTAACTAGGTCCCTTGCCAAAGGTTTTTAGAAAGACTGCACTGCCAAAGGATGGGAGGGAAGGTCCTTTTGTGGCCTGAGATCTAGTTAAAAGGCAAGGAGCAAAGATAGGGCTAAAACTGTCACTTTTTAGGATGGAGGGAGGTCAAAAGCAGGGTTCCGCAAGGATCTGGTCTCAGCCCTAATTATGTCCACTAATTTTCACTAATGAACTGGAAATGGGGTGCACAATGAAAACTCCAAGTCTGCAGATGATACCAAGTTATTCTTGTTAGTCAAGTCCCAAGCTGACAGGGAAGAGCTGCAGAAACAATCTCATCAAGCTAAAGGGGGTGGGCAAAAAAAAGGGCAGGTGAACTTCAGTGTCAATATTTACAAAATAACACACCTCAAGAAAATATAAAATCTCAACTGTATGTACAAAATGCTGGGTTCTGAACCAGCATTGCAACTCAGGAAAGAGACCTTCAAGTCGTTGTTGATTGAGTTGACTGGTTGAGAACTACATGCTACAGCAACTGGACAAAAAACAACAACAAATAAAATGTTGGGCATCATGGAGAAGGCAATTGAAAAACAAAATGGAGAACACCATCATGTCACTTAATAAATTCATGGTGCACCCATATCCTGAATACTGTGTGCAGTTCTGGTCTCCACATCTCAAAAAGACAAGGCGAATTAGGAAAGGTACACAGAAAAGGGCAACCAAAAATGATCAGGGGCATGGAGCAGCTGCCTTACCACGAGAGACTAAAAGGACTAGGATTCTTCCATTTGGAAAGAAGAAGGTGAATGGGGATATGATCAATGTCTATGCAAACATGATGGCTGTTGACCAAGTATACAGGGAACTGTTGTTCACCATGTCGCAGAATACTAGAACTGGTAGAGAGCCACTAAAAGTATTGGCAGACGGGTTTAAACCTACCAAGAGAAAGTATTTTTATACAATGCATAGTTCACTAGTGGAAATCACTGCCACAGAAGGTAACAGAGTCAGGTTAAAAAAGCGACGAGACAAATTAATAATAATACACCTATAATTAGTCATTAAACAGAACAGTTGGAGATATTTCCTTTGTCATTTCTAAAGCAATAATGGTAGATGCCATGGAGGATAATATATAGGGCATAGATCAATCTAGATCAATGGTTTTCAACCTGTGGTCCACAGACCTCTGGGGGTCCAGAGACTGTCTAAGGAATCTGCAAAAGACTACTATGATCAAAAGTATGTCAATACCCACACTTACAATTCAAAGGGTTCCACACCTCCATTTGAAATTTCCAAAGGGATCTGCATTCAAAATTTTCTAGGGGTCTACAAATGAAAAAAAGGTTGAAAACCACTGCTCTAGTTCTATGTTAATGTTTAGTCTCTAAGGCTTGCAGACATTAAAAACAAACAAACAAACAAACAAAAACAACAACCACCCAAAATGGTGCTTTATTTCAAATTCAGGGTGTTTCTGCATTAAGCCCAGTGCGTGCCCAGAAGAGGCAGTGCATTAGTTGGACTCTATAGATTAGGCACTTTAGTGAGGCTTTTTTGGCACTTTTATCTAATAGCTGATTGAATTTGCTATTAGACAAACACACCAACAAGCCCTGCTGAAGTGCCAGATCTATACAGATGCTGCAGAACTGGGTCAAATTAATGTGCTGTTTCTTCCAGCAAAGCATGGTTTTTGTTTTTTAGGGAGCTTGGAGCAGGGGGAGGTTAATGTCTGCAAGCTGCCTAAGATGTCCCCCTACCCTGCCTTCTCAGGGTATACCTCCATTACAGATTGTTAAACAAGATTATTTTCAACTTCATGGAACAGGAATTAATGAATTAGTTAATTTATTTTAAAAAATGAACATCTGTCTTTAACTATAGATGTATTTGGCATAAGGGACTCTGTCAGATAAAATCTAAGCGCACTTTTTCTGGATGCTCTGTGGGTGTAGGGGGGGCAGCACTTTAATTAGAGCTGCTCTAATTAAAGCGCTGCTGCATCTCCTGTATCAGAGTCCCCATGCTTAAAAAAGGCGGTGGGGGCGCTTGAACTAAAGCTCGGTTGAAGAGCTTTAGCTCAAGTGCTCCACTGCCATTTTTACATATGGGGACACTGATACATGAGACACAGGAGGGTGCTGGAGTGCAGTAATCGCTACGCTCCAGCAGACTCAATTAAATTGAGTCTCCTCCGACGCGCTAGAATTCCAGTGCATCAGAGCAGCCTCCACACTCACATGTAGGCACTTAAGTGTTCATATGGGGTTTATGCTAGGAAAGAATGCAGAGAACAAGTACTACACAGACTTGAAGGCGATCTACTGAAATTCTTTGGCACCCCAACTTTAAGTGCAAGTAGTAATCCCTTAACTTTACCTATCATAAGGCGCACATTCTTCTCAGCCTATTATGCAAG